GTGACTTTTTCCTTCATTAGGTTAGGGACATTTTCTGCCATTACTCTTTTAACAGGTTCTTCTCTATTATTTTCTCAGATTTTTGCGCCTTCTGGTACTCCTATGATGAGAATGTTTTTAAGTTTCATGTTTCTCAAAACTCCCTTTGACTGTACTCCTACTTTTTTATTTATTTTTTTCCATCTGCTACTCTGAATGGATTTTTTTTTATAGATTTTATTGATTTTTTTACAGAGAGGAAGGGAGAGAGATAGAGAGCCAGAAACATCGATGAGAGAGAAACATCGATCAGCTGCCCCCCGCACACTCCCACTGGGGATGTGCCCGCAACCAACGTACATGCCCCCGACCGGAATCGAACCCGGCACCTCGTAGTCCGCAGGTCTACGCTCTATGCACTGAGCCAAACCGGTTTGGCGGATTTTTTTTTTTTCTACCTTGTTTTCTAAATCACTGATTAGTCCTTAGATTCTTCTAGTCTATTGTTGAATCCTTTCAGGGTGTTCTTTATTTCAACTATGTCATTACTCATTTCCAGTTGATTCTTATTTATTGTTTCAAGCTATCTTTTCATTTTGCTATATCTCACAGTAAGACCCATATCATACTCATTAAGTTGCTTTTAGCTCTCACTGAATTGTTTGAGCAGCCTCATTACCATTACTTTGAATTCTTTACCTGACAAATTCTTTACCTCCTTTTCATTTAGTTCCTTTCCTGGTGATTCCTCATTTTCTTTTATTTGGAGACTAGAGGCCTGGTGCACAAAATTCCTGCACCTGGAAGGGGTTCCCTCAGCCTGGCCTGCACCGTCTCACAGTCCAGGAGCCCTCAGGGGATGTCTGACTGATGGCTTAGGGCCGCTCCCTGTGGGAAGCAGGCCAAAGCCATCAGTTGGACATTCTTAGCACTGCCGCGGAGGCAGGAGAGGCTCTCACCACCACTGCTTCATTCTCCAGCCATGAGCTCAGCTTCTGCTCTCACCAACCTTGAGCCCAGCTCCTGCGTTGAGCATCTCCCCCTTGGTGGTCAGTGTGCATCATAGCAACCAGTCATTCTGCTGTTCGGTCAATTTGCATATTAACCTTTTAATTTATAGGATTGTTTTCTTTGTTCCACCATTTTTGCTGTCCCTTTGTTTTTGTTTCTGTGTGTTAGATCTGCTATGCCTCCCAGATTTTGTGGGGTGGTCTTATGTAGTAAGTGTTTTAAGACCAATGAGTGCATTCTCTTAGATCTCTGAACTGGGTGCTCTGGGAAATCCCTTTACTTGAGTTAATTGGATTCTTTTGTTGTACTTGGGTCTTGAATGTTATTGTCCCATTTGTGGATGGACTCTCCTCTCAGGCTGGTTGACTATGTGGCTCACCTGTGACCACATCATTTGAGCTTTTCTGGAAGTGCTGATGGAAAAGAACAAAATACAACACAACAAAACACGAAGCAGAAGAAACAAAACCAAAATGTACAGAAGACTCCTACAGCACTAACAGAAGAACCACCAGAGAAGAGAGAATTAAGAAAGAGGAAAGAGATTAAGAATAATAGAAAAATATAGGAAAAAATAGGAGAAAACAAACAAAACAAAAAACAATAAGAAAAAGTGGGGAGGAATATGTAGATGCAAAGTGAAATAAAGAAAATAAGAATAAAGAAAGGAGCCCTAACTGGTTTGGCTCAATGGATAGAGCGTCAGCCTATGGACTGAAGGGTCCCAAGTTCAATTCTGGTCAGGGGCATGTACCTTGGTTGTGGGCACATCCCCAGTAGGGAGTGTGAAGGAGGCAGCTGATCAATGTTTCTCTCCCATCAATGTTTCTAACTCTCTATCCCTCTCCCTTCCTCTTTGTAAAAAAAATCAATAAAATATATTTTTAAAAAAGATTAAAGGAATAGGGGGAATAAGTAGTTTAAAGTAAAGGAGTGAGTGAGGAAATGAAGACAATAAAATAATTTGAAAGGGGAAATAGAGGAGAATGCAGAATCAGAAAAAGAAAAAGATGAAAAAGCTGGAGAAAGAAAGGAGAGAAAAAATTGAATAGTGAAATGAAGAAACAAAAAAATGGTAGGAAAAGTGAAGAGGAAAATTAGATATATGAACAAAACAACAGATTAGAATAATAACAAATTAAAAAAGTAGATAGATAAAGAAGATACACTTAAAAAGGGGAACATAAAGAAGAAAAAAGACAGGAAAAATAGTTTTAAAAAAAGGCAAAGGGGCATTTGTTTCAGCTGAGTTTAGTGTCCCATGGGAGTTCGCTTTAGATCCTACTCTTCTGTTTTGTCTGCCAATTGTGGACTTCTTCTTAGGTACTTAGGTGCTCACCACTGAGGTGTCAGTGACTGTCCGTTGGCTTTCAGCAACCAAATGATCCACCGATCCACCATTTGTTTCTGTAGTGTAAGTAAAGAGAAGCCCAGGGCTGGGTCAGCAAACTTTCCCTGGTTCCCCAGTCTCCGCCTTTGCCCACCTTTGCCTGCTAGCCCACTGTCAATCTTATTCACTCAAAAGTTTGTTTCTGAAGGGGCTTTAGGTGTGGGAAGTGCTATTTAGCTTTCAGGAAATATGGTGGTGTGTTCCCCTGTCCCAGAGCTATTCCTCTATGAGTGGCCCAAAGTATTACTCTGCTCCTGACTGGACAGAGATCCTTCTATGAAGACCAACGGGGTCAGCTGAAAACCTGGAGTTTTTATCAATTCTTCCATGCAGGAAAATTACAGGTTTTGTTCCCCAGATAATGTGGTGGATGGCCCCTCCCCCACTCCAGTACTGAGGGCTCCTGAGACTGTTCAAACTGGTAAGTTTGGCCTCTGGGCTTGTTTCCTCTGAAAAGCTCAAAATTCAGGGTGTGGCATACAGGGCTCCTGAAGGTGGGGCATCTGTATCATCTGGGGCAGGTTTTTTTCTCTTTACCTGCCCTCTGGCTGCTGGGAGTGGCTAACTCCTCTCAGGAAAAATGGCTGTTTTGGTTTGGGGGCCTATGGGAAAATGTTCTTGGCTACTGTTTTTCCAAGTCTCCTCGCAATTCTTCCCAACACAGCCTCTCCTTAGGCATCTTGAATCCAAATCTCCTCCCACCCCTAACCTTGGATGAGTAGCCGCAAATGAAAACTCCTTTGCTGTGGGTTAAAAAAACAAAACAAAAAAAATGAAATGAAACTGCTCTTTCTCTCTGACAGGCTCCAGACTCCGCTGCAGCCAGCAGCCCTGTCCTGACTGGATGTTACCTGGGCTATGGTCTCAGCTCCAATCTGCTGCAGCCAGCAGCCCTGCAGCCTTTGACAGTTGGATGTTTCAAGGGCTGAGGATCTTGGCTCTGGGCTGGGGCGCCCAGCCTGGATTCCAGGCCTCTACCTTCTGAGGGAACAGACCTTCTCATAGCCCAGCATGCCTTCTTCTTTTGACATGCCAGCCTGCCGACCCTGGGAACTGGGTAAGCTCCTCTCTCAGCCTCACCCTTCCTACTGGTCTCCAGGTATTTTCTGTACTTCCTTGATATGTCTCTCCCTCAGCTGGACCACAGTTGGTAATTCCAGGTGAATGTTCTCCAATTTAGTTGTATTTCAAGTTTGGCCCTGGGATGAAGTACATGACAAATCTCCTATTTGGCCACCATTTTTTTCCAGGGATCAGTATCATTGATTTCTGATCTTAAATTTGTTTCCTTCCCCTGTTTGCTTTAGATTTCATTCTTTTTCTTGTTTCTTAAGCTTGAGGCTTGGATCATTGATTTGAAACCTAGCTTTTTCTTCTTCTAATTTAATTTTTTCCATCACCTTTTTATCCCCTCTATTATCTCCACCCATCTCCCTCCACCTCAACAATCACCACACTGTTGTCCATGTCTTTGAGTTCTCGCTCTCTCTCTCTCTCTCTCTCTCTCGTTTTTTTTTTTTTTTTTTTTTTGCTCAATCCCTCCGCCTCCTCATCCCTACCCCCATTCTCTGCCCCAATCTGTCTACCTGCTCTCTATCAATGACCCTATCTCTATTTTGCTTGGTAGTTCAGTTTGTTCCTTAAATTTCACATATAAGTGAAATTATTTGGTACTTATCTTTCTCTGATTGGCTTATTTCATTTAACATAATGTTCTCCAGGTTTATCCCTGCTTTCACAAAGGATAATTTTTTCCCTTTTTACAGCAGAATAGTATTCCATTGTGTAAATGTACCACAGTTTTTTTATCTACTCATCTACTGATGGAAACTCACCACTCTTCTTCAATGTAGTAATGGAAGTCCTAGCCAAAGCAATCAGGAAAGAAAAAGAATTAAAAGGTATCCAAATTGGAAAGAAAAAATTAAACTGTCACGTTTGCAGATTACATGATACTGTGTATAGAGAATTCTAATTATTCCACATAAGAAAACAACTAGAACTGATAAATGAAAAATAAATATTCATAAATCAATTGTATTTTTATACACAAATAATGAGATATCAGAAAGGGAAACTAAAAAAAAATCCCACTCATAATTGCTTCAAAAAATATCAAATACCTAGCATGTAAAAATATCAAATATTAACCAAAGATGTAAAAGACCTATACCCAGAAAATTATGAGACACTGAAGAAAGAACTTGAGCAATATACAAATAA